CATATATCTGATTATTAAATTACAAGGTTAAATTTATTTTTTTCTCTTTTCTTGTTCAATTAATTATTTAATCAATTGGGACAATGGTCATCTTTTTTATTGTTATGTATAGCATTGGGATCAGAGATATTGTAAACATTTTTAAAATAATGTCGATTTTTTAACATTATTGGATATATATAAGAATTGCTATGAGTTGTGAAATCATCCAGAGTAGGTTCAGAAAGGTGGAAGACATAAGTGTACATGTCAAGGCCTTGGTAGGCCACCTGCCCAATGCTTGTGGGTGGGCTCGCCATGGCATGCAATTTTTTGTGCATGCCACAGGCGCCCTCAAGCTTGGGGCGGCTGCACCCCGTGTGAACCAAAACAGGTGCATATAAACTTGTTCGTGTCTTCTCAGGTTTTCCCACCGCTTTCACTTGGATTTGAACTTAAAATACTTAAAATTATGACTCTCATGAAGGATTATAACTCTTTGGTAGAGTTGTTTAACATCTATAAATTAGATTGCTGGTTTCTTAATTGATTTACACGCATGCAAATATATGGAATGATAGAATTTTCCTTCATTTTCTTCCTTAAAGCTATTTTTTTCTTCATACTTGCATTCTGCTTTCTCGAAGTGTTTTTGTTTTTTTTTTTTTTCGTAATCCATAAATTCAAAATTCTAGTTTTGACCCATTATTTAAATGATATAGTAGATAATATTTGATTTAGTGTAACTGACCGGAGATGACACCGTGGAGTATTAAAATTAGTTAAATATATTCCCACAACGATTTTTAATAATTAGACCACATTTAATTGCATAAAAGATTCATAACCTTAATACATTTTCACATTTGTGTCTCAAACTTTTCTTTCATCGCATTCTTAAATTCTCAAATTAACATAAATTGTTCCTAATTAGAATTTCTCCCCATTATTTTATTTAAGTTAGTGTGAAAAGACTAATTTCTCCCTTGCATTTTTAAATAAGCAAAATAAATAATATGTAAAAAACAATTAAAAATAAGAATGTGATGAAGAAAATTAAGGATACAATTGTGAAAATCAATAAAGATAATCACCTTCAGTACAATTAAATTGTGGTGTATTTATAAAAAATAAAAAATGAAAAATAAAAAAATGTAATGTGAATATAACACCCTTGAAATTAGCAATATATACTTATATACATGAAGTGTTGTCTTGAGATAATGTTGGATTTTGGATATGAAAGAGAGGTTCATGGGCTTACAATTCGTTTATTTAGGTAACAATTATTCTCATTTATTTTTTCCTCAAGTACCTACAGAATGTTAAAAATTCTTGGATTTTTGAAACTTAATTGGGCAACTTATACAAATACACTTTAACATGGGCCATATAAAAAATCATATAAAAAGTATTTTACTGTTACAATGTCATTTCCTCTCGCCTTGGGAGCAGTGCAAGTTCTGTGACTTTTAGGGTTGAAGCGAATTTTATAAATTAGGTCTCGAAATTATAGCATGCACGAAAGTCTAAGTGTATTATGGAGTGAATTTTTTACTTGTTAATTTTAAACTTAATGATAAAACAACAAATAAAATGGATTATACAAAAATTTATATTATAATTAAATAATAAAGTCAACAATATTCCAAATTGAGTGATACACGAGTGTACATACGTGAGGCAAATATTATTCTAATTTTAAGATGTCCGACAAAAACGATTCTACTTTAAACGGAAAGAATAATTAAGTCATCATGACGGAGGAGATGATACGATGGTTTGAAAAGTTGTTTGGCGATATAGGAGATAGGATGGATAGGCAAGAGAAGTGAATGGAAATGCAAGACACATTATTTGCTAATTTATGTGGGGAACAACTTAGAGAAGTCCCTAGTGCAAGGAAGCAAGGTAGGCGGGAGTTTGGAACGGATATTAGTGGTAAAAATGAAGCAGGTAGTCGAAATGATAATGATGCGTTAGTAGAGGCTGATAAAGTTCAAATTGAATCTTAGAAAAGATAGAGTTTGATTAATTATAAAAATAAAGTATTCAACTTTAAAAGATTTTTTGACTGATTGATTTACCTCATCATTACTACTTTCGTTAAATTTCTTCTTTTTTCAAATTATATGCTTTTCTCGGAATACAACTTCAATTCATATTTTACTTTCCTTTTTTGTCAGCTTATCCACGAGAAAAGTAAATTCAATTTTTCTATAATCTTCGAAAAATAAAATAGATCCTTGTAAGATGTAGATAGCACCATCAATATCTATGTTTTTTATTTAAAAAATTTACTCATATTATTGATTGCATATAACAACTTGTACCAGATTACCATGTCAGTCAAGAACTAAAAATTCTAAAGTTCATAAGTTGCTAAGGACTCTACTTCACTCCTAATTTTAGGATCTATGTTAAATGCTGTAAAGTCCAGTAAAATATCTCTTATTTCAAACAAATAAGTTGAATACTATCTATATGATGAAAAAGTTGAATGAATTAAGAAATCATTACAAAATTAGTTTAAGAAATCCTAAGAAGAAATCCTAAGCCACTTGTCCTCTTTTGTTGCATTTGAAATAAGCCTAATTTAGAAATGAAATTCTCATGATGAAAAAACATTATTGGGCCTTATTTGTAAATGGAATGAAATGGGCCTAATTTATAAAATTAAAAAAAAAAAAAAATTGTAGTAAACCTAATTTATACACACACACACACAGAATGAAAGAGATTAAAATCTGAGGCTCCATCTAATGTTGGGCCTAAGGCGTGGCCCTCACTCACCTTTATACAAAACCGATTGGAATGGTGATTGCTGCAGTTGTTATCGACATGGTATGTGAGATTGCACAAGTTCACAATGTGATAAAGACTACATAAACTATATTTACTTGTTAATATTAACTTTAGATGTGAATAATTAATGATATAGCTATAATAGATATGTGAATTCTACGCCACGTTTAAATTAAAAGATAGAGATGTGACATACTTTGTCACTCTTAGATGTGAAGTAAAGTTTTGCATTTGAAAGTAATGCATTGTATTGCATTTTAATTAAAAAGTTCATAAATTCTTTAGTTTGAATTTTTCAAAAAATAATGTCCTTCAGAATCCGATCAGGTGCGGCCTACGTATACCTTAAATATTAATCTTTTTTTATTATTATTTATTATTATTATTTATGGAGATTGATTAGTACTGTCTTATTTGGTAAGGTGATTAAGCCAACTGCTTAAACATTATTTGGATAATAAATTAAAAATTGATTTTTTATTAAACATTATTTGGATAATAATGTACACAAAACAATTTATATTAGTGTTTTTTAAATATGTAATAAGTGATGAAAAAAATTAATTTAATAAAATTTTGAATAAAATAACAAAAGAAGATATTAATCCTGGAGCCCACTCATGTGAGGTGGGTGTACAACTTGCTGTGTAGCATAGCCCTTAAATGTAAAGTATTAATTATGGTGTAATTACTATAACAATAATAAATAAATAACTTTTTGCTTGATTTTTAAAATGATTAGTGCTATGGCAATAAGTGTCATTAAATAATATTTAATGAATCATATAGTTTCACTTTTAATATGCACGTATCACATAAATTGACACTTTAGCACCATTAATACATATAAAATTATTCTTTTCATATTGGACCTTCTATTTAGGGCATTTATCTAATTAAATGTTTCAGAAATTTTCATATCTACATCATTACGAAATAAATATTCAAGATTTACTATGTCATTTTATGATCAAAATATTACTTTCTGATATGGTTAATATTGTGGGAAATACTACATAACCAATTTAGACTCCATATGTTCTTTGTAATTGAAATTAAATTAAATTATCCTAGTATTAAGCCAATCATTTATTTCTGTGTTGACTTGATAATTTTCTGATTCACAACTTAATAATCCATCCAAATGCTCATAATTTGCTGAAACATATATTCATATGCCCTCTATTATGATTTATAAAATTTTGGTAAGTGGCGTGTTTGGTCGCACATATTGATACTGTGAACGAGGTGATTTACATATTTTTGTTTTATTATATTTCTAATAATATATCTTGAATAAAATTAATGACAAAGTAATTTCCGAAATTATATAAATATTAGGTAAGTAGCGTAAGTTATCAATTTTTCCTTTGTTTTGTTTGGCCCAATAATTTTTAATCCATATTGGGCTGATTGATTTCTGGGCCTAATTTCTCATCTTAAGAGGGTGGAATCCATATGTTTTTTATATGTTTCTACTTTCTGGTGCACACTGGACTTCCCTCCTTAACTTTGGTGAATGTGGAAATTTCATATTTAAATTATAAATATTTTCCCACCATCTACCAATGCTAACAAAACAGTATTAAAATAAAGGCGGTAAAAATGAAATACATAAAAGAGTTAAAATAATCACTGGTTTAGATTTTTAGTGCCATGAAACTCAAATTCAATTCCATTATAGAATATATAATGGTGGAAGATGTTCAATCTTGTTACCAACTAAATCGAGAACCAATATGAATCTTATGTCATAATTAGCCAAGTACTTTACTGAAAGCGAATAGTGCAATACGCGAAGAATGCAAGGAATTGATTTACCATTTCTAAAGGCCGACGAATACAAACATATCCCTTGTTTTGAGCTAACACATGGAAAATCCATTATGAGAAAAATTCATGGTTAATTATTCTCCTAGAAAAGAACCTGATCTGGCCATTTTGGCTCGATTCCGAGTCACCGACTTTGCTCTCCAATTTACTCCAATATTGACATACAAAGATTGGGTTTAGAACACCATTCCTTATCACTTAGGGGACCATCCATTTTTTCCTTTCTCTATCAGAATCCACCAACTAAAGAATCCACCAGCTGTTTTCTCATCGTGCATAGCAAAAGCTGGCCTATCTAAAGTGACAGAAAGTTCCTAGTAATTAAAAAGTTTGTAGTCATTCAACTTGCTCAATCTTTTCCTCTACCACCCAAAGCTTGTGATTTTCTTAAAAAATCAGTGCATGTGAACCTCAAAAGAATACAAAGGAAATAATCTGATTGTCAATAAATAGCTAGCACCAGCAATCAAGAATTTGCATGCAGTCACAGAACTTTCATCTAAATTTCCCAAACATGAAATTCTCGTCATTTTTCCTCATTGCCATCCTCTTTCTGCAGGTATATTTCAGTTGAAGTACTGAGAAATCTGGGTACTTTTTTATATATATTAATGACTTGGCTTAACTTTATATTCTATGAAATGCTATGTTAGGGTTTTGCAGAGGCATTAACCTTGAATGATGCTCCAGGTTCCCCTACTCAGGTAAATTACTTCCACTTTTTCAATTCGACCTTGTAGAGTCTAATCTTACTGTTCACTTATTCATTCGACAGCGGGTCAACCTAATCTACCTATTATATAAATGATTTTACTAGGGCTTATTTTGAGTGTGTAAGAGGTGTTAAGAAAATCTTGTATTCTTCATCATCATAGTGATGTGGACCTCACGTTTAGGGTGAATCACTTTGAATCCATGTATTTGCACCTTTGCGTGTTTTTATTATTATTTGGTTCATATTGGTCCATAATAAGGGATTACGTTTTAATCCAAAACATTTTCTTGTAATTTACGTTAATTCAGGTGGAAGAACCAGGAAATTTAGGAAGCCTTCTCAAGAAAAGCCCGCATCCAAAAATCAGTAATATACTTCGGTGTTTCATTCCGAAAAGTCACATACATTTAAATACGGATTCAAATTTTTTGACTAATTTGTATAATAATACACAGATTGCAGTCATGAATGCACAAGAAGATGCAGCAAGTCATCAAGAAAGAATGTGTGCCATCGCGCATGTAAAACTTGTTGCAAGAGATGCCATTGCGTGCCGCCAGGAACTTATGGCAACAAAAATGTGTGTCCCTGCTATGCTAATCAACGAACACACGGAAATAAGCCCAAGTGTCCTTAGATGACCTTTCGCCCTGTTTAAAAAGAACGTATACTTATGTTACTAAGCAGATCAAACATTCTACTAGCGTGATACATATATTATTAATATATCTTGGTGGATTTTACATGAATCAACCAGTGTGTCAAAATGTGATAGATGATTATATAAGGCAATAAATGTGTGGCATATCCTATATTGGACATTGCAGTAGCAATGTTGTTTAGCAGCTGATGAATAAAAGTTGTAAACCTTTTTGTAACAAATACGGAGTCTTTTGTTATTATCGTGATTAGTTTACAGTATCTTGTTATACTTGAGAAAGAGAGTGTCTATATCTGAACAAGATGATCAACCACCTTAAAACGTAAATTAATATAGTTGATTGTCTTTGTTTTCAAAATTTACACCTACGATGCACAAACGTTACACCAAGGGTGACCAGATAGGGGTTGGGGGAGGTGGTGCCGAGATGAGATATTTTATTTTATTTTATTTTCCTTTTTAGTTACCATTCCTTAAAAGAAGGAAAAAGGGTTTCAATGAGGGTTATACTTAGGTCCTGAATTTACGTGAGATTTCAGTTTGAGTCACTTTTAGGTAATTTATTGTCAAACGTCCTCCTCGAGCTATGATGTAATTCGATTTTAATCTTCAGTTGGTTTGGCTAAATGACTGAACAAAATTGTAACACCACAATCTAGATGACACGACCCAAATGTTAATTGTGTCATTTGAAACAACCGAAATATTTTAGTGTTATTCATGGCCCAACCCACTTTCTTGGATGGCCAAAAATGAGAAGTTTCACTTGGTAGCCCATTTGTCTATTAATTGGGCCTTTACTTGACCCATTTAATACCCTTGTGTAACTTATCTTATTGGGCTAATTTGGTTTAATATAATTGGGTCTCCTACCCATCTCCAAGTGACCGTGCACCTCTCCTTTTCTATTTTGAGATTTTGGCCTCTGCTTCTTCTACTTCTTTGCCTTGCCACGTTCTTCCTTAAATTCTATTTTTGTGCTGATTGTCATTGAGTTATTACTAGTCTTTGTCCTCTCCTATGTGTAATCTCTTTGGTAATTGAAAGTGGGAAGCTTGGTTTTGTCTTGGGTCGATTGATTGTTTGATTGTGGTGTATTCGGTGAATAAACTAAGCCTGGGCCTACCTTGGTGGTCGATAATTCTTCATTTCATAACATATCACATATGCTTTCATATTAGTAACATGATTTTTGTAAATCTGAGTTGTGAAAATAGTATATATTATAACAAAATTTATAGTTACATGCTGCATTTTGGTGATAAGTGTATTTTGTACACTTATCTAGGCCAATAAATTATAATATTTATTAGTGATTTGGATAAGTTATAACTTAATTATATATTAGTTATGTTTATTAGGTTGAACTTAGTGCAAATTGGTGAAATTGAAAGAAAGGAACGAAAAAGAGGCAAAAAAGAAAGAAATCCAAAGTGTAAACATTCAATAGTTTATTATGAAATGATGATTGAAGATCATATAGGATCAAATGGATACAATTAGAGGTCAAATGAGTAAAATAAATTTGATGTATTTTCATAAATCAATTTTCAGCTAAAGAATATATGCTCTGAAGTTTTAACCTCAACTTGAGATCGATTTTTTCGGATAACAAACATTTGAATCAAAAAATTATAGCCTTCGAGTTAGCTTTTCAATACACTTTGAATCACTTCAATTGGATATTAAGAGAGAAAGTTATAACCAAAATATCAAAATCTTCTCAGGGACAACACTGTGAAAACCAGTGCATGTGTGCAAGACACCAAAATTTTGACCCAAGACCCATACAGTTCAATAGCGCGCAGGCGGTAGTTGTGCCTTTGCACGTGCGGGTTTTTTACAAACAAATTAGCAATTTTCTTTTGCAATTCAAACTCTTATGGGATCCTAATTGGACGTGATTTTGACCTTTTTTGGATCTTATAAATAGAGAGCAAGGGTTACATATTAAAAAATAAAAAATAAAAATTCTTGCCTCCTTATATACAATAATATCATCGAGAACACAGAGTCAATTTATCACTTTTGAAAGAGAAGATCAAGTCCCCTAACAAGAATTGAAAGCCAATTACATAAAAAATTGAAAAATTCAACTTTAGAATTGAATATCAACATTTTTTGTATTCTTTCATGATCTGGATGATATTTTTGCGTTATTCGTCTTGTAATTTATTTAAAATCATGCTAGGTTAGATCCCTTTTTTGTATTGAATAAGATGAACCATATTTTTTATTTGTGTTAAATTCAAGACTAGTGTGTTTCTTGATTAATTTTGCATACCCATTATATTATTTAATTGATTGGCCAGTAATTAGATAATTAGTTGTTTGTTGTAGTGTTAGGAGACTTATAATAAGTTTAGAAGCAAAATTAACAAATGTGCAATTTATGTTAGGAATAACATTTATAACATGTGCAATCATATAGATAATCTAAAGTTTAATATGTTCTAATCATTCGAATTTGGGCTTGGAATAGATTCGGTCGTGGTTAGGATAGAGTTGATTTGTCTTGGAAAATAAAGTTAAATATATAAGCTTTATCTATTGTCAATAACGTATGAACGAAACTAGATTACAAATCAAGAATTGAAATAAATAACAATAGGTGAAGTCTAAAATCCAATACAATCATCTATAATTTAATAAAAACCAAACTTTTGTTATTTTTCTAGAATAATTTAGCAAAAATAAAATCAAAATCTCCATTTTGTTTTGCATAATTCGAATTTCATATAAAATTAGTAAACTTGAATTAAATTTATTTCTTGTGGGGCGATACTTTCAACTCACTCAAATATATTACTTGTCAATGATACAGTACGCTTATAGGTTTCACATGAACAAGTTTTGGACGTCGTTGTCAGAAATAAATTAATTGATTTGAGTTTATTATTTTATATATGAATCGAACTTTTTTTTTTTTTGATAATTTTCGCTACCCAGCCCGATCTCTCTTGTGATTGATATGCTTTCAGGTACTATTCAGCAATATATATAGTATTTTGATGATGGAAAAAGAGACAATTTTTGCAACAAATAATCTCGACATGGATATAAGGATATGCTTGTAGAAGACATAATTTGTAAGCTTTGTAATGGAATACATTATACTAGGCAATGCTTGTATACACGCACTAGTCCCTTTATGTCCAAACTTCGGTAGTTCAAACA